GGAACTTGCCGCATATGGCGCCACTGTAAAATAGGCTGTTGTAAATTTTTTTCTCAAAAATTTGAAATAATGAAAACGAGGTTTTTAGGCACGCTGAAGTACACAACTTTTCGCGAGTTTGCAGAGCTTTATGAATGGTGTAATCAATTTTTTGACAAATATCGGAAATCGGTTGTTACGGTTTCTCTGGCATAACTTATGAGAAAAACTTTACAACGAAGAGCGAGTTTCATATTTTAACTCAGCAATTCTGTTTACCTGGTGTAGGGTTTTCAGCTTCTTCCTTTCCCTTTTTGGTAAATTGCGACCCTTGATTACGCAAAAAGCTCCTCAAAGTTCTTACCGTAATCCTACAGTAATAAAGAGAAAATAGTTATTCCCTCCATACTGCAAATCTAAGTTGAGCTCCACATAATGGTACCTGAAGCTTGTCGAGATATCAAGACAACAGAGTTATTGAACGTTCAAACAGTAGGCACATTTCTTGGGATTTATATGTATCTTTCAGATCTGTGTTAGAAAAGTCGCTAATCAGTTTGTTTTGATTTGAAAGCCATCCATTCTTAGTTAGAAGGAAGCCACTTGAAGGTTATTACAAAGCGCTTTATTTTTTTTCATATGAGTCAAAGCCACAAATCAGCTTAGTTATCAAGAAGCATTGAATTTCTCAAAAGAGTGCGACAGAATTTTTGTGCCAACCCTACTATGATGTTGTATTGTAACTTATGATTCCTGTGTATCTACGAAACGTCTGTGGTATCGGGTTGGATTGCCTGCACACATATGTCCTTTATGCATTGATAACTGTTATCAGAAAATTTTTAATGCACTGAGATATAAAACAGAAGAGAGAGATACATTCTACTAAAAGTTTGCTTCGCGAAAATTTACCAGTGTGATTTATAGTATCGCTTTTTTTTGTCAATTAAAAAACTTTGAGAATTCCAGGTACAATAGTCCTGCTCTCGCCATAATTTCAACGTAAAACCATGGAACGCAAAGCAGGCGATAACCAAACGAAAGCGGCCAAAAAATCTCCCACTGGGCGCAAACCCGAAAAATCTCAGACCGCGAAGCAAAAACCAGGGTCTGCCACCCAGACGAAACCGACTGAAAAATCTCAAACAACGGAACGCAAACCCGAAGAATCTCAGACAACAGAACGCAAAACAGGATCTGACACACAGACGAAACCTGAAGAAAAATCTCAAACAAAGGAACACAAACCCGAAACATCTCAGACGAAAGCAGGGTCTGTCCTCCAACCGAAGCCGGCCGAAAAATCTCAAACCACTGAAGACAAACCCGAAAAATCTCAAACAGTGGAACAGAAGCCTCAGTCTGACAGCAAGGCGATACCTATCGTAAAACCTCGAACCACACACAAGCCTGATTCTGGCATCAAGTTGAAACCTACAGAAAAACCCCTAACCGAACACAAATCCGAGGAAACTCCATCCACGGAACACAAACCTGGAAAACCTCAAACCACGGAACACAAACCCGAAAAACCCCAAACCACGGGATATAAACCATTGTCTGAGACCCAAACGAAACTCGAAAAAGCTCAAACCACCGAACGCAAGACCGGGCCTGAGTTCAAGGCAGGACCTCTCGAACCTCCAACCACGGAACACAAGCCTGAGACGGGCATGAAGACGAAACCTGCCGAAAAAGCTCAAATAACGGAACACAAGCCTGAAGCTGATACGAAGAAGAAACCTGCTAAAACCATGGAACAAAAACCCGAGAAACCTCTAACTACGGAACACGAACCTGAGGTTACGAAGAAGGTACCTGCTCAAACACCTCATACCATGGAACACAAACCCGAGAAAACTTCAACCATGGAACACAAGCCTGAGGCAGACACGAAGAAGAAA